TTATTTTAGGACAGTTTTAATTTTATCCTTAACTTGGAAGTGAGAAGACCTGCTTCATTCCCCATACCCAATGGCCTTCAGGCAAGGGGAAGATCTGGGTGGATTCATGCCTACAACAATGCACAGGTGCCCTAAGTCCATTTTGGAGGAAATGTCCACTCTCTTTAATCTAACAAAAGGTCTGCAATTGGCATGGAGCTCTCTGTGCTCAGATGTTATGGGTAAGAGAGGGTGACTGAGGAACTCTAAATCTGGTTCTACAGTTTTTAAAAGTCCTGAACTTTCTCTAATGTCTAGTGCATCTCACTCTCACACCAGTCCTCTGTGCTCTACAGAGGCATGCCTCACCATTCCATGACCTTCTTTTTTCTACTGCATTCCTCTTTGCCTTCTAATTTCTTTTACCCACTAAAGGACAGTCTTTTAATTGCAGGGACTGTGAACAGCTGATTCAAGGCCATCACACCAAAAGAACATTGTCCAGGTAACATAAGAACCATCTTGGACCTCTTGCTTTTGCATATATTCCTGTGGTATACATAGCAGGACTCAAAGACTTGTGATGTCTGGCTAAATCCTATCTAACAGTCAGCAAAAGATGGAAAGACTATTACCAGTCCATGCATCATCCAAATGACTTTTATCCTGACATTCCCAAAAGATACTCAATTCCCAGTTCCCCTGGCAGCTTGGTGGCCACTTGATATACTTCTTCTCGTTGGCTAGAGGCTTTCTGGATGCCTTGCATTATCTTAGTGGATCTTTTTGTTGTCTTAAATGCTGGTATGGGCTATAGTAGATGTGAGGTCGTCACAAGGTTGTCCACAGGCCAAGGGCAAAAGGTTAGAAAGATTTAGAGACAATGGCATTGATGATATTGAGCAAATGGAAGAGCACTTGGTCTCTGGGCATCAAGACCTCTGCACTTTTTGTTATGTATGTACAAATATATGTCTAAGACCTACCAGTAGAAGTTAGTACTTTTAATGGGCCCACATCGTATGGAAGAGATGACTGAGAGTGTACTAAATACAAGCAGATTTCTGATAAGTAGAAATGGACATATACGAAAGGCACCATGGGTCAAAGAATAACTCTGGATTTATTGTCACCATAGCTATGAATTCTGTTCTTACATCTGTCATCACGCTATACATAGAATGTTCTTTGCTACAAAAAAGATGGTTCAAGATTAGCAACAACACACAAAACAGGAAATCTTTGTGATTTGTGGTTAAAAGTCAACAGGAGCTTAAATCTCTCAGCATCAGCTTTTCAGTCTGTCCTCTTCCTGAAAGATCTTCTTTTACTCTGATCTGCCATTTTAATTTATTTTTTGGATCATCGTAGGAGAACTTCTTTGTAATGATAATACCTTACAGTCTTCTACTCTCCAAAGCAAACTGTTTCCTGTCCACCATGACACATAGTATTGCTGAAGTCTACTGAAAATAACAGATCATGGAAAACTCCATTTTAAATTTTATTGAGGATTTTTTGTTAATGAGTAAGAAAATCTACTTATGCAAGGTTTTACTACCAACTAAATGTGATGTGTTGTATGGGATGTACATACTATAGTGAGGTTTTCCTTGAAGTATTATGGAGGAAGTTTTCATCCCTGTATCTTATTATGTTCTCTTCTTCCAGAAATGACAAGTATCTACTTGCATAACGGTGAATTCCATGGCAAAAGGAAGAGAATAATGCAATTCTGAACTTCTGAGAGTAAATATGAATATGGCAAGCACTTATTCTCACAGAATAATAAGCTTTGAAAAAACCTTATATGTCCAAAAACTAATGAATTTGGAATTTCACTTTATAACTTCCATGTTTCAATATATTCAGGAAATGCAGCTCATCTTTCCCCCATGGAATTCAAGAAAGGACTTTTTCATTTCAAATTTTTTAGCATAAGTAATTCTATAAATGGGTTCCACTGTGATATTACAGCATGCATACAGTGTGCTTTGATCAAATTCATCCCATCTTTTGTACTCTTCCTTTACTACCTTCCTGCATCCTCCTTACTTTTTAAACAGTTTTATGGTTGGTTTCATTTTTCTATTTCATACATTGTCTATAATATGCTTCTACAACATTCACCTCATGTCATCCTCTCCTTTTCCCTCCTCTCACTGCCTGGCCAGGCATGGATCCTGGCCAGGAATGCACTCCACCTGCTGAAGTCATTCACCATCCATCCCTGTGAGCAGGTGGTTTTCCAGACATCCTTCACCTCTACCTGGACAGGAAGTACAACTTGCTGCCGTGAAAAGATAAGGTTATTGAAGTTTGAACTTGTGACCAGAAGATTTGAAGGTGTGTCTGGAAGTGTGTGCAGAGATTCTAGCTATCTGTACCAGCAGAAAAAAGTGTGTAACATGCATAGTTTCACGAATAAAAAAGTTTCTTACAGCAAAGCAGCCAGAAAATCAATGAGTATTTTATAGAATAATGTGTGTATGAATGTATATTTTTAGAGGTAATATCTACACCATGTGGGTTTTTGGTGTAAATTTCATTCTGTCCTTTCCAAATCTATGGGAAATCTAGTTTATAGTCTATTCCTTCTTATCTCAGCTTAAAAAATCAAAGGTGAATGTTTTCATACTTAACTGATAACAACATAAATGGAAGAGAGGTATTTGGTAATATACATCAGAGTTCTTTAAATGTGTCTGCTCTTTGACTTCATAATTTCATGTTCAAAAAGTTTGTCCTAAGAATATATTCAAAAGTGCATATCAAATTGCATATTAAATTAGCAATGAATAAATAAATAAATAAATAAGTAAACCCTAAGAAGTTTAAGTGTCTAAGAGTAGGGGATTGCCTAAGTAAATTATGGTATATCAGTGTAGGTTGGAATTATATGTAATTTAAAAGTTCTTTTGTAGATGATTATTTATTAGAAAATAACAATAAATACACTGTGCAAACCAACCTTGGTGGCACATGCCTATAATCCTAGTAATTAGAGATGGAGGCTGAAGGATCCAGGCCATTCCATATTACGCAGTGATTTCAAGACCATCTGAAGCTACTTAGCAAGAACTTGTCCCATAAAACAAGTACTGGGGATTTAGCTTGGTGTTAGAGTGCTTGCCTTATAATGTCCAAGGCACTGGTTTGATGTCTAGCACCATACAGAAAAGTAAAACCTGCCATGCAACCCACCTTGATATCAAATTTGATAGTAAATAAAATGTACAGATAAAAAACTGGAAGAGTATATATCAAAATCTTTATAGTGGAAATATGAAAGCTTTGAAGTAATAAATCACAAAATATTTTTAAAACCTAATGAGAAATTTTCTTTGTGAAGGCTATTTGATTAAAGAGCTAAAGAATTTAGTGATAACATTTTTTTATATATTTATACTTACAAGTTTTCACATATTCATCTTTTCTCAAGATGCATGCTTTTATCTTTTCAGGAACTGACTTTGAACATTGATATAGAATGACATTTTGCAAAGAGTAACAAGTGGTCAGTTCAAATGGAGAAATACATCGTTCATGACAATTTTTCCTTTCTGGTTGACATCAGCTTTCATTACACAGTTTCCTCTTTTCACTTTGGTCAAGAAGAGGGACAGAAATTTTGAGTTGGGGTATCTTTCAGAGGCAATTCACTTCTGTCTTCTGTCTTACGGTCTCTAAGGGATCCAGAACTGGAAAAGCCAGTGTATCCTCATCTTATCCTCATCTGTGGATAAGTTCCTCCCCCTGCATCGTTGCATGGCTCAGATACAGGTAACACCTGCATTTATTCCCTCTGATCTTTGTACCATGTTATCGTACTTAATGCAGAGATGTGGCAGTTCATAAGATCGTTCATGAGGAAGGCACTGAGGAGAAGCATTCTTATTGACTGTATTAAGATTGCATTAATTCTGAATTGCGTGAAAATTATAGTTCAGCATCCATGAAAAGGTCTTTTCTTTTTCTTAACATGCTATGATTTTTGCTTTGTGTTATCAGAAGAAAAAGAAATAGTATTGTGGGAGTTAATTACTTTTTAGTTGGGTCAAATGTTTTACATACTTTCTTATCCACTTGAAAGACTGTATAATAGGGAAGAATACTTTTTCTTAGGAAATTAGTGAAAATGAACAATTGTTTTAAACATTTGAAAGATAATAAAGTAGAAAAGAATACAATTACATGTGCAATTTTCCCAGATTTTCTGTTTCTATCATTTTTTTCATACTGTTTAACGTAAGAAGCAAGGTAAATTTCATATACATGAAATCACTTGGGTTTAAAATATAGGCATTTGGGCTCCAACTGAGAAGAGTTTTATTTATCATATTCGTATTGGGAACTGGAATCTTAAATGTTAACCAATTTCAAAATTAACCTCCAAATATGCAAGTGGTGTTGGGAATACACTTTGGGAAACACTAGTAGAGTTATGTGTAATTGAAAGAATGCAACAACCTTCATACATATGTGTAAATATATCTCAGAACATGTATACATTTTAAAGAGCAAAGATATATCCAATCAGAAAGTTTTGAATTTTTGTTGTTTGAATTGATAGTTTAAAAAAGTTTTGCAGTGATTTGAGATGATACCGATTTTGCCTAACATTATATATTTTTTTGTTTTTATATATAAGTATATATTGAACACTTTGATTAAAATTGGCTATGTAAGTAGGCCAATAATCTCCTGGTTGTTTAAAAGAGTGTTTTCATATTTTCTAATAATGATGGCAGTGATCACTAGAAGTACAAATGACTTGAACAGAAATGTTGAAAACTTTCCATTTATTACATAAATCAGGCACAATCTACATGTTTAGGAACTTGAAGGCGTTCATGGACACCTAACCACCAGCACACGCACACACACACACACAAACACATACACACACCATCTCAAATCTTGTAAGTTGTTATAGGTGGACAGTTTAGTTTTTTGTTTGCACCAAAATCATTTCAAGGCAAGATTTCAATGCAAAACATGCTTCTCTTCTTACTCTAAAGATGAGCAATCAGGAGGTGACATATTCAACCCTGAAAGTTCTTCAGTCTTCTCAAGAGTCACAGAATAGATAAGAACTGATGCTACTCAAAATCCTAGAAAATCTGAAGGAAAAGGTAAAGGTTTTAAGGATGTAAAGTCACCTGTTTCTTATGCATTGCAAAACTTTCAATATGACAAAAATGTATTATATGCACTTCTGGTTGTCAGCTGTTAATATAAAAAAACTAGAGTAGAATTCTCTCTACTCTAGTGAGTATTAGAAGGCTTTATGTTTTTGAGAATGGCAAAATGGATTAATAAATTCTTTTACATTTGAGAAACATTAAGGAGATTTTATTGAAATCTTGTCAAGAAAGATTTGTGAGGCCTTTAAAAGTATACAACAAAATAGAGTCTGAAAAAGCACTGAATTTTCTAGAGAAGTAAATCTTAAAAATGAAGAGTATGTGTTAAAAACAAGGCTCTTATTTAAATGAAAGATATGTTAGGGATCTCAAATATTTACCAAACACTAATGGCAGTGAAGCAGCAAAAAGGTTCAAATCACAATGGGAATTCTTGGTGAAGGACTTGTGTCTTTTTAGTGCTGCCTTTTTAAGGTATTGATCATGGTGGATATGGATATAACTTCTCTTTTTCCTTTTTTAAAAATTTACTTACTGAGGTTTGAACTGAGGACTTTGTACTTGTTAGACCAGTGCTCTACCCCTTGACCAATGTCTCATCTCTTTTTTTAAGAAACGATTTTTCTTTGTAAGCAAAAACTAAAACGCAATAGTCAAAAATGGGAAATTCTAAATTTTCTATTTCTTTATTACTTTTCAGTCTTCAAATATTGTTGCAATTAAACCCTAAATTGAAAATTTCTGCTTCATACGTAAAGATAAAGATAAGACTTTCAGATTTCAAAACCTCAATAGTACAAGGATAAATGGTACTGTCCAAAGAAAAACAGAATTAATGAAAAAGAAATGAAAGTTGGTTTCTAGAAACTCTTGTAAGGATGGATTCCCATGACATATGCACCTTCAAAATATCCACTACTGGCTATCATTTTCTCAAGAATATTGACTTATCTTTTCTTTGTTTACATTATTGGTTTTGTGTTCATGGAGGTATACACATGCCAGCTTGGATCCTCCAACATGTGTCAGGCCAATTGCCTTCCATACTTTACTAAAAGATGTAGTTTTGAAATCCTATAAAATTGGGTGAGCTGGCACACCCTTTAACCTCACACACTTGTGAGAATAAGAGTGGAAGATAAAGAATTTGAGGTTGGCTTGGTCACGTAGTGAGACCTTGTTTAATTAAAGAAGAAAAACGGAAAAGAAAGTTTGAAATCCCAGAATTGTTCCTATATGTAGGATTATGCAGTGAGCAAGTGTTAACCAGAAGTCTAAAATCTTTAAACTGTATATCCTAGATTACAAATATGAATCCATTTTTGACACTCAAGTTTTTAGAGATAATGCCCCCTTCTTTCAAATGATACTCTAGTTGAGGTTAGTAATGGGCAGGTTCTTTTCCTGATGAATATTTTCTTCCTTTTGTATTTAAGAATTTTCAGTGCCTTGGCAACTCATTGCAGTGACTCTTGGGATCCTGTGTTTAATTCTGTTCACAATAATAGCAGTGATGATGATAAAAAGTGAGTAATTGAAATACATCGCTCTTGTCTGAGTAATAGCATTAGACACTAATTGTGCATATATTCACAAGTCCATCCATTCTCCTGTCTGTAATCAGGGATGTCAGAAGTGGTTCTGGAGTTTGTTGGAGGCTTTTATTTTCCTGGACCTATGACAATATCATTTTCTTTTACTTATCTTTTCCATTGATTCTGAGGCTGCAATGACCTGTCTTGCTTGGCCTTAAACAGTCATATTCTTTCTGACAACAGAGGATTTATTAATATTTTGCCATCTGAGATAAGGTCATTGTGATTTTGAGGAAAACATTCCTTGAGAAAAAACTTGTTCAAAAGAAATTATGGCTTTTTTTGAGTTTTTCCTTGTATGTAATTAGAAATGGTTTAGTAAAGAATGAATCTGAAAAAAACCAGACTGACTCTGTACATAGATATTAGATAATCTTTAAATTAAGCTTTACCCTTATTTTAATTCCTACACATCTTTAGAAAATACCCTTGATATGCTACATTCATATAAAATTATATATTTAGCTAATACTATCTTTTCTCCTATGGATATTTTATCTGCTAAAATAATAGTTATGTGATATATTCATGTTCTTATTTCAAATTTTCATGCTTAGAAAATGTGATGTTGAAAGATTAGTTGAAAACTAATCTCTACTTTTTTATTTGTAAATGATATGCTGATAAAAATGGATCAAAAGGTGAGCTGTTATCCTCATAATCTTAATCAAATATTTTATTGATTTTACACTGAAGTTGCTAGTAATGAGAAATTTGACGCTTCCATTTCTATGGTCAGCTCATTAAGGTGTTACTTTCTAAATATAAAATTACTAATTAAACTAATGATTTGAGTTGTTTGTCAAAGTAAAGCTTCTTTTGTCTTAAATTCATGTGTTAATTCAAGAACACTTTTACAATTATATCTATATGCTAACTGATTTTAACTTTTCATTATTTTGAAGATAAACATGAGCAAGAAAGTCTAGAAAACATCCATCAAAGGTACCAAATTCTGAAAAAGAACAACAGCTTATTGGAACAACTTTTGACAAATAAGTCTTTAGAATGTGATAGCTCCAAAAATACAACATTTCATCCCAAAAAGGAGCTGGGCTCATTCTCTTTAAAAAAGAAGAGTTGTTGTAACAAAAATAAGGCTGCTTCAAAATCTCTGGAAAATACAATAGGTATGGCTATCTCAAGTAAAAGATTCCAATTTTTTTTTGGTATGCTGACTAGGGGTACATTGTGGCAGTTACAAAAGTTCTTACAATATATCATATTTGAATTTGTCCCTCCATCATTCTCCTTTTACCCCCTTCCCTCATTCTTAGAATAGTTTTGACAGGTCTCATTTTTCCAATTACACAAATGTGTGCACAGTATTTTCACTATTTTCATCCTCTTACACCCTTTCCCCACTTCTTCCCTCCACTGGTACTCACTCCCACCCCAAGGCAGGAACTGTTCTACCCTCCTGTTCTTTGATTTTGTAAATGAAAGAAAAATAACATTTTTGTTTGTATAAGATAGCTAGCTACACAGGGTGTTTCCTTGTGACATTTCTATGTATATATGTAATATAACCTGAATTGGATCATCTCCTCTATTTTTCTTCTTTCTACCTTAGTCTCCTTTTTATGGTGGCCTCAACAGGTTTAAAAATTCTATATTCTTTCTGTATAGGAAGTACATCATCCATATTCACCTTCTCCAGAGCTTTGAAGTTTAATAAACAGACTTAAGATCCTAGTGATATATGGGTTAACTCACAAATTTTAAATTGTACCTCTTATATATAGTGGGTATTTGGGTTTGCTTATTTGAGACATTGCACTAGGGCACTAAAAAAAGCCATGCTTGGATTAGTAAAGCCCTACAGTTCCTAAAACTCAATGGCCATTCTTATTTTCGCTCTTCAAAAACATTTGAAATAGTATTTTTCATCCTATACTTTGAAACCATCACTACATGCAGGAAAATAGACCATCAATCATCATCAAAGGCTTCCTTGAGTATATTTATTTCTTTGTGATAACAACATTTAACATAGGTTTACCCTCCTAACAGATTTTTAGTGTGCCATTTTAATAATGTAGGCATCATACTGTAGGAGTACAGTAAGTATATCAAGAACTTAAACTTCTTGCATAACTGAAACTCTATACCCACTGAACAATAATTGCTTATTCCATAAATTTAAGCCCCCAATAACTACCAATCTAATCTATGCTTCTATAAGTTTCATTCTGTTAGAAACCACATTTAAATGGAATCATAATGTATATGACAAACTTATCTCAGTTAGTGTTCATATTCTCAGTGTTCATCCATGTTGCTGCACATGTCAGCATTTGGTTTTCTTTGGCAGTACTGGTGTTTGAACTCAAGGCCTCATGCTCACTAGACAGGCTATCTATGACTTACTGCACCAGCTCTGCATTGTGTTGTGTAATTTTTGATAGTCTTGCAAACTTTTCGTCTGGGATGACTTTAGTTACAGGTGTGAGCTACCAGCAATCAGCTCATTTAGTTCTTTTTCAAGTTTAAATAATAGTACTTCCTATGTATTTGCCTCATTCTCTGTATCTACTCATCCATCAATGGACAGTATAGTTATTTCAATGTCTTGACTATTGTGAATAATGCTGCATTGGACGTAGGGGTACAGGTGTCCTGGCATGCTAGAACCTCAATGTATTACCATTATTGAGAGCTGTGAGAGTTCTTTAGCTGTGGAGTGGTGACATATATATTTCTCTGACTAACATAATACCAGAAAACAACAAGTCTAATGATTCTCCTTATATATTGCAGGCAAATGCTGTCATGCAGTAAAATGTTTTTATTTTGTAATGGAATTTAAAGACTGGAAGAGATATAAGCTGATGTGCCAAAATCATAGTTTATCCCTTTTGAAGATAGATGACTATGATGAACTGGTATCAATGGCTCTTACATTAACTTTTATTCTCTTGGATTCTATCTTTCTCTCTAGGACAATAAGATATTCAAGACAGGCAGGATTCTAGAAACTATCAACTTTGCGTGTGTGTTTATTTTGTCAGCTATGTGAGCAAAACCTGTGTGTTTCTGAGTCTCCTGGGAGACTCCTGCCTGCTAGAAGCAGATGTTCCTACTACTTACTAAGTGTTTAATACAAACAATCTATATGATAACCATTATTACTAAGGAGGAAGGATGGGTCTTTGTAATCATCTCTCTTTCTAAAGAGTCTGCAGAGAAGTATGCTTATGCTAGGATGAGTTTAACACTTAAATAACTTGCAGGCTTGACAACAGTTATTAATCCCTATGAAGAGTGGCAACAAAGAACGAGGAAACAGCATAGTGTTGCTATTAGGATCCCAAAGCCATACTTTCTGGATCAAATCCTTCTCTGTGAGTGCTTATTAGCTTGGTGACATTAGCTAAATTACTTAGTGTCTCTCAGCCTATCTGCAAAACGTACATGATTAAGAGACTGTCAACATGCTAATACTTGTATTAACTAGCTTTATGGTGATTTCAATTTCATCTGTAAGTAACATTTACTTGATCAATATTCTTACACGTTATATAAAGATATCTATCTTTGAAAATGAATTTTAAAAACAAAAGAGTAGCAAATTGAAATTGAAATTGTGTTTTTAACTTTTTACTGAGGAAAATTTCCCAAATATACACAATGTGTTTTCAAAGAAGTGTTTGCATTGACCAGCCTGACACCTCTAATTTTCCTTTAGTAACCATCACAAAAGTTACATGCAAATTTACAACATGTATGGTTCATGGCATCAACTCATGAAATAATTTTCTGTTTGATACAGTAAACAAAGTTAAATTGAAAACTATGTTTTAAAATATACACAGTCACAGGTAAAACAGCTAAGCCCTTTTACCTGTAATTCTCCTTGTATCAGGTGAGAATTTTCTCACAATACATATTTTGTTTTGTTCATAGAATTTCCTTCAATCCCAGGTCTATCCAGATTATTCCTGGATTGGGTTATCATATGACACAGGGGAAGGAAAATGGAAATGGACTGACAATGGCACACCTGCAATGTGAGTTTCTGGAATTCATTCATTGACATTGGTGTGATAGTCGGAAATATTGTGTGAAGAAAGAATGTCTCATTTCACCCGACTTTGTTCGTTTTCAAATGGAGGTCATTGGTAAGAACAAGATGAATAAGTAAGAAAGTGTTTGAAGAATTTTACTTAAAAAAGAAGAGAAGTGTCATACAATGTTACTAGTACTAATAATAGCATGATGCTCAGAAGCATGCTTTGTAAGGTGCACAAATGAAACAAAATCATAATTCTGTATTGTTGTGGTATTGGGGTGTGAACTCTGGGCTCCACACCTGCCAGGCAATTAATTGCTTTTCTTCCCAAGTCAGGCCTCCAGCCCCAAATCGTAAATTTTTAAGCAATGTGAAGTGATTGGATCAGCCTGACTTATCTATAATTGGCAGATATCCTGATACATTGGAAACTTCTTTGTATAGTTAATGTAATTTTTATGTTAGTTGTATATGATTTATAACAATAGATGGAATATATATTATATACATACATATATACATTTATACCTTCCACATCAAGTGCAGTATTATATAAATGCTTAAGTTTAAAATTAACTCAATTTTTTGGTTGTACTGGGATTTGAACTCAGGACTTCAGACTTGCTAGACAGGTACTCTATGGCTCAAGCCACTCTACCAGCTTTGCATTTAATTCTAATCTGCTGTAAATCTAATATTTGGTAGTATTGACTATTCTATTTTATTTTTAGGAATTCTGTTTTGTGGTCTCAAATAACCTTTCTAGTTACTAATATGTTCAAACTATTTTTATATCTTGAAAGATATTACAATTCTTATTTTACACTTGGTAACTGGTAATCCTACTATTGGAAATTTAGTGGATTGAATCTATTGTTTTTACTCATGTTTGTTCCTGATGTCATTTTCTTTGTGGTGT